AATGTTGTGTTGATGGACAGATGGGGTATAGCCGAAAACAGCATTGCTGTGTTTAGTGGAATTAACAGGCAAATTTGATGCGGATTAAAAGAATAGCTTAAATCGAAAAATAGAAGCAAGACAGAGAAATAAATAAATAAATAAATAAAATAAGAGAATCCAAAGTAGATGAAAAATAGATCAAAAGAGAACAGAAAATGAGGAGGAAGATGGAGGAGATAAAATGGAGAGGGTTAAAGATTAAAAACATCAGTGAGAAATAAAGTTGAAAAGCGGCTGGTAGCCAAAAACCGTTCTGACATGAGTAAGAAGAATGCCAGAAAATGGCAGTGATTCTTAACATCAAAGAAGGGGGCTGCCAGAGAACAGCAAGAAAACATTTATGGAATTCATGTTTACGGCACAAAACCTTGTAAGAATGCAGTTGGTGTAAAATCACAGATCTAAATGCGAGATATGAAATGAAAAATCGATATGCTGAGTGAAAGGAGTGAAAAAAAAAAATAAGGTGACTTACTAGAGAAAAACCTTCTAGTAGAGAATATATTTGTTTTAGTGTATTGTAAACCTCCCGAAACGCCAACTTAAATAGGCTGTGGAGCCAAGCTATGCACCCGATGGGTGAGATAAAGTCATGAATTTGTGCTTATCGATTGATAACAAAAGTACAAAAAGTTATTATGATGAGTAGGTATCAACTCATGAAAATCATCCTTAGTTGGTGGTAATTAATGTATTTTTTCAGGGATTATGGTAATAAGCCACGGAGATAATCATAATTTTTTGCTTTTTGGTCAATGAATCCCAGAGAAATGCTTACACATGTCAAGGGTGAGGTGAGGCGAAGAAATCAAAGAAATTGCAGTAGTCCTCAAAAGACAATCTTCTCTAGGGATTACAAGAATATGTTAACAATAATTTACAAAGTGGTAACGTTCGCCAACCACCTGCAGTCATGGCTCCTTTTCCCCTCCATAAAATCTAGAAAGAGAGAGAGATTTATCACCAGGCAAATTAGGAAAATCCGAAGACATTATTGTGTATTGATAATCTAATGCTCCAGCTGTACATAATAAGCTCAATATATGATGCTAACAATAAGATTTCTCTAATTTTCATAGAAAGGAAATTAACAAGACCTAGGATCTCATATTGTTTTGCAATCTATGCATTAAAATAATTTTCAACCAAAACTATTCCACCATTTTAATATATTTTTGTCAACATTGAACTCCTGGGTAAGGCACATTAATTTTTTTATTTTTTTTTTGTTTTTTCCTTTCACTCTGATTTTTTCGTCTACTAAAACCTTCAGATGAATGTCATAGCTGATGGGTGTGAGCTATTTTAAAGCATCCTCTATCGTCTTTATTTACCATGTTATATGCCGAATAAACCAGTCTAAATAGTCTAGGATCTTTATCGGTAGTAGAACAATTCTATTGGTCATAAATAGCCTATTGTCACTTAAAAGGATGTTTTCTCCAAATTTTTCATGAACATGACACAGTTGCGATAAAAAGTTCTTATGTTTGTGCTCAATACATAACTAAAATAGTTCAATTAAGCTCATAAACGGTAAACCACTGACAACTTTTAAATTTACCTCTGCAATCCATGCAAGTACAACTCAAAAGGCATTGACATGAATAAACGACTTAATAGTTCCGTTAATAACCTGTCACCACTTGTTTGTGCATCTTTGACTTTCAGGTTAAAGTCAACACCTACATGATTAACAAGATTAGATTTACCGTTATACTTTAGATCGTCTACACCCAATAAACATCCGGATATCCTTATAAGCCAACACGTGTAGTGTCCAAAAACTCAGGGCACAAATTCTTTACATACCAAAGCCAACGACTTTTTCGATAAGGTTAAAGCAACCTGAAATTCCGTTAAAGCAACCAGCAGTTCCGTTAATAACCTGTCGCCACTTGTTTGTGCATCTTTGACTTTCAGGTTAAAGTCAACACCTACATGATTAACAAGATTCGATTTACCGTTATACTTTAGATCGTCTACACCCAATAAACATCCGGATATCCTTATAAGCCAACACGTGTAGTGTCCAAAAACTCAGGGCACAAAATTCTTTGCATACCAAAGCCAACGACTTTTTCGATAAGGTTAAAGCAACCGGCAATTCCGTTAACCATAATGCTACCCTATTAGGGATTTCTCATTAAATTGAGCAAATCCTAGTTTTGATATGTGTCTAAATATGCACATCAACATAATTTATGTCATCATTATACATAGGCTGTTCATGCACGAGAAGAATCCTAAAAAGTTCAAATCGCCCGTAATAAACATTATGCAGTATGTCCTCTGCTAGATATCAGAGGCAAGAACCTTTCTACTGGAGCATCACAACTTAAGGCAGCTGCTAAATATATGACACCCATAATTAACAGCACGTTCCTAGTCAACTAGAATGAATTTCTATTAAAGTGCCAGTATAGACATATAATGTCAGTACCTCAGCATCGGATTTTTGCTTCTTCTGTTATGCTAAACAAAAGGTATCAAAAAGGTTCATTTAGCTCATAAATGACAAAAAGTCTTCATATTCGGTGTAATTCATTGTCACAAGCGTATGACTCGGGGTCTCATTATGTGTACGCGACAAGAGTTTCGTTTTACTACATGTATAAATCTTGAAGTTCACCAATCTCATGCTAAATGTACGTAGAAAGTTTAACTCTACCCATCACTGAAAAATCATGTGTGTGATCAACATATTCAGTGTCTATTAAATGGCCTCTCCAGTCCACTTTCATGAATGACTTCAATAAAAGAAGCAGTCAGGAACTCTGTTAATATTTGTTCGTCTATCCTCACTCAAATAACTATGTTAGTTATCGTCCTTGTTTCTAACAAATCACTGCACCAGAAAAATTATGCTCATAAACGTTTAAACTTTTTGTTCTGTTTATAAAACCCCCAAGTCTTTAGGTTATCCCATACAATCAATGCACCAGAAAAGTTACGACCATTCGTACCTCTGTGTTTTCCATTAAACATCTATATGCAAGTCATTGGTGTATTTCAGGTCACCTGTATACTTAGCAGTTTCTACATTAACTACCATTCCGAAAAGTTCAAAGTCAAGTCACCCATGTTAAATATAAGATTTGTGACATGCAACATGCACTCACATGACTTCAAATGAAAATGTGTTCTTCAAGAAACCAAATTAGGTAGGATGAGAAGAAAATTCTTATCGCGTTCATACACAGCTAGCATGAGAGTGCAAACAATATTTTAAGAAAGTAAACAAAAACAGTAAACGTACCTTATGTGAGAAGGTCAATGGAGAATACATGATCATAGCTCATCAACTCCACTCCTCAATGCTGCTTATATTTTTTAAGCAATTTGGAATTCGTATGTTCTAGTCCCACTGGCTTTCTCAAAAGCTGAGCAGTTTTAGTAGCAACCAACATGCATCTGGCACTGGTGAAAATACCAAAACCGATTGGTAAAAGAATCAAAGTGATTCACAGAACCCAGCCAGAAATGAGAATCAGTAATAGAAGAACAAACATCAGTTCAGACGAGCTTCTCTCATAGCGAGCAGACTCCAAAAGTAGCAGCAGCCAACCTTTCAAGAATAGTTCAATGGTTCAGCAATACCGACCTTCTCACACACAACCACATACATGACTGTTCGAATAACTTTCAATGGACTGTTACTACAAGAAAAATGGCATTTACAGGTATCCTATGCGTATATATAACAGAGCAGGGTCAGAAGCAAACACTAAATTATATATTTCAGTCATTACATTCTGAAACTGCCGTAGGAACTGGACATGCCTATAACTATATTGGGCAGAAATACGTGAAACTAAATTTAAGGGGAAGGGGGAAAAAGAGGTTACAAGTTAGTCCACTTCCATGAACATAAATCATAGTGTGAACGTATTGGACAACCCATGAAACAGTAAGGCAAGATTTATTTTATATTATTGTGGTCCCTATTATTGATCCATGATCCAGCAACACTGGCTTTAGAATCCTCATCCGCATCAGCAACTTGGAGATCAGACAAGGAGAAAGACCGACAAGAAGAAAGCTTATCAGCAGGGGGAGGTACCAAAGGCTCAGGCTGCAAAGCTCGTCTTACATGTGGCGGCAAAGGAGGTCGGCAGGAGCCATGTGAAGTCGAATAGGAGCAAGACGTCTCAGCAGAGTTGGCTTCAGAGACGTTTGCAGCAGCTGCAAGCGCCAGCATGCTTCTACAGCTGTTGGGTCTTTTTGATATTCCGCCCTTAGTGCCTCGCATGAAGCTGTTGCGATTCTTGTCCAGGATATTATTGAAGGCGATCAAGTTCTTGCGTTTCCTGGTGTACGCATTCTCAGGTTTAGTGATTTCGTCGATGGATGGACAAGCTGCAGCGTCCGACAGGCTGGTGAAAGATTTTGATTTCCCACTGTAAAACTGGGATATGCTTTTTCTGAAATAAGGTTCAGACCATCAAAATCAACAGTTGATAAACAAGGATGTCAGTTAAAAAGTTTGAGGGTAGTTAATCTTGGGGCTTCATTGGTTGAGGACAGATTAGGGGATGGAGCTAAAAGCTACTCACACGGACCATGCTTGGTAAAATTTACTTTTTTTTTTTTTCTCCAGCTGATCTACTGTTAATGAGGAAAATCTCTTTGATAATTAATAACCTTCTCACTTGTAAAATGTAGTTTCTATTATGGATTCATGTATTACGATTTGTTTTTTTTTTTAATGTTCACTCTGAAAATATTATATTTAAATATTTAGTAATACATTTTTCAATACTTTTTTTATTATGCGTACACTGATTAGAATTTTCTAGTGGTTTTGTTATCGTTTTTCAGATTTATTTATCTTTACAACTTTCAATCATGTTCACATGTACTAGTAAGATAACCTTTGACAGCTATCTTCTAATGAGTCAGTTTATCATAAAGTAATTTAGCTTTAGCTATCAGCTACCCATTTTCAGTTACAAGCCCAACCAAGCATGCATTTGCATAACCCAACTACATAAGATGACTTCAAGGGAAATATAACAATGTCTGGAAGCATGGAAGAAATAACAATAGATTACCAAAGATACTTAAAGAGATAAAAGTACAAGATTCGGTTATAAAACACATACATCATAAGACAGTGACAAGAAATAACGGCTACTCCCTTCGTCTGTATAAAATGGGCATTTTTTTTCCCTTTTACATCCACCCTAACTTATAGAAATCTCACTTTTATATAGCATCAACTACACAACAAAAGACAAAAGTACCCTATCTAACTCATTTGTTTTTGTTTAATGCAATTAGTTGATACGTCAACTAGTTGGACTACTAAACGTTAAGATAGACATTGGATTTCATGCAAGGGGCAAATAAGAAAAATAACAAAAAAGATAGTACAATCCCAATGCCCAAATACATTTATTACGTTTCATAATCTTTGTGATTTTCCCTCCAAGCCAGGCAAATAAGAAAAATAACAAAAAAGATACAATCCCACTGCCTAAATACATTTATTACGTTTAATAATCTTTGTGATTTTCCCCCCAAGCCAATAATAATGGTCAAAGAGTATGATATCTTTGGTAAATATGAGATGCATTCATGATGTTACTGGAGCACTTAGGCTGTCTAATTGAGCCACACAAGAATATCGCAAAATGATTGAGCGAATTAGGGCTTTAAGAAATGTGATCAATTACAAGAGCAATCTCTTTTCTATTTTTACCAGTCAGATCTACATGCATAACAAGTTATTAAGAATTTATTTCAGGTAGCTCCCAACTAGATCAACATCTATGACAATAATCATATATAAGACGAATAAATTATTACGGAATAATGAAGATGGAACATCACCAAGTTGAGATAAATCGCCACTGTAGCCAAGATATAAATCCAGATGAATATAAAAATTTAAACTGAAGAGAAATCACATTAATAGTTGCATAACTATAAGATGGAATCAAGCAAATAGCTAGAAAAATTCAATTAAATTTACAAATTACAATGAATCAAATTACTAAAAATATCAGATGAGCTTGACAGGTGCCAGTATATTTCTCGCTATCCGTGTTTAAAATCAATATATCAGTTTCAAAGGTGTTGGCCCAGGTCAGCATAAATGCAAATGCAGGGATTGACTAGTAGCCAGTGAATAGGTTAGAGGAACTAATTCTACAACAATAAAACTTTTCAATGCCAATTATATAAACCTCTGCTGCTCTGCACCAGGGAAGCAGCTAAGACTATTTTAATTATGATATGAAGCAAACTCACAAAGTTCATAAAAAGAAGTTGCTAAAGTGACTTTAAGTAGTGCGCCCACTCACAGTCACAATATTTCAGATAAATGGAAGAATGCAAAGATTGCAACACTGTTAGCAGCTTGCGAGAAGCACGACAAAGCATTTCTAAATGGTCTACATATCAGGTCATATGATTATTAGCCGAAGCACAAGCATTCGAGCTTATTAAAAGAAGAAAAAGAAATAGATCATTATCGTACACGTCTAATGTAATATACATCCATGCCCTAATCGTAAAATCTCTTGGGCAATAAGACCTTTTGTTTAATTTATAATGAAATTTCTCCCATGCAATCAACTTACTTTAGGCAAAACCTAAAAAGCACTATACTCATGCATAACCAATCCAAACACCTCGATGAGAAGATAAAATGATGAAACAGCCTAGAAACTCTCTCTCTCTCTCTCTCTCTCACTCACACACACACACACACACACACACACACACACGCACGCACACACAACATCCAATCTAATTCCTCCAATGGTTCATACTACTAATTCAAATTCAGATCATGCCTCAAATACAACACATTCTTAATTACCCATCCACGCCTCCAATTAACTCCGTATATTAATTCACTAACCCATTGTTCCATCTTATCTATAGTTTATTCTACTATTACTTGGGTACATATAATACTTTCACAAGAAGCTAACAGCAGAAGACAAAAGGGCACCAAAACCAAATTATCCAGAAGATGTTCAAATCCAAGTACCATCACAAACTCGATTCAATCGAAAAAAAGACATCAATTACCACAACTCTACAAACTCAAAACCCTCAGCCAGAAAGGGAAATGGCAAATTCAACCAATGAAAGGAAAGAAAGAGGAAGAAATGCATACTTCATCGGTAAAACTTCCTCCAAAGCATCCAAGCTGTCCAGTGGTCCTCCCTTATACTCACTCTGCACCTCCTCCCCATCTCCTCCTGCGCCGGCCGTGGAATCGTCGCTGTTTTTCCCAATCGAAGAGATGATTGAGGACGATAACGAATCTCCATGATCCTCAGCCTCCAACTCTGGCGACGCCGGGAAATTCCGATCAACGGCGGAAAACTTCGGTGGGTTGTAGGCTGAGGGAGATGACGCCATGCTGCGGTGGCCAAACCCTTTGAGCTCGATCCGGTGATCGCCGCCAGCGGAGGTGGTCCTCTGTAAGGCCGTCGACATTACTGTGGCACGGTGGTGTATAGATACATGAGAGGTGTGTATGTATAGGCGGAGAGAGAATGAGATTATCAAAATCTGGAATGGATATTGATCGCCCACATTCTTTATTCGGACATTAATGAAATTAGTTAACTTGGGCAATTAAACAATATTATCTTTTTTTATTTAGTTAAAGTAGAGTAACGTAATTTATATATATAAAAAAGTTTGATTATTTTTTAAATAGTAACTATTTCTCTCCAAAAAATATCATTTTTACTAATTTTAGAAATATATTGACAGCAATTTCCATATTTCATGCATAAGTTTTTTGGGACCATTTCAATTAATAACATATTTTATTTAATTTAAGATCATTCTTTAATAAAAGTAATTATATATTGCCGCAATTTCCATATTACAAAAATCTTTGTCCATATATAAGATCATTCTGTTATAAAATGCGGGGAAGATAAAGAACACAGTATAAAAACCGGATATAAATTATAGTATGCTTTTCTTTCTTTCTTTCTTCCTTTTTCCTGTACAACCATTGCACTATTTCTCCTGCCTTTTATAGGCAAATTTTCATGCATTATTTCCACATATTTTTATACATTATGATAGGATAAGGTGATAATGTTACTAGTGGTAGAATTCCACTTGTTTATAACATTCCCCCTTGGAATTACCACTATTAACTGTGCGTTTATGTTGCCTCGTTAAAAATCTTATCTGGAAAAATCTTGTGGGAAAAAACCGAGATAAAGAAATTGACTGGAATCCTAATAACACTGGTTCTCCGTTGAACTTGTCGTGAACTCCATCTTTCGTAGATGTAAGGGCACTTCTATGTGGAGAACGAAAGCCAGTCTTGCAATAACAGCAAGCATAGGTCATATTCCTACCAAAGGAAGGGAAATCCATATTATGAAACCTAAAGATATTATGGTAATAAGGGCCCTCATTCCTCCCTACTTCCCTATTATTCAAATCTGCCTTTCAGTGATTCACCTACCTAGCCTACAACACAACACTTCTTCCCTCTTTTCACTACAACGATGTACACTGCAACCGGGAAAAGAATGCATGTTCCGCATCGAGTCCTAGTCCGGATATTGAGATTGGCATTGATTGAGTAGTTATAAGGGTGGCATTCCCTGCAAATCATTGCGGTTGGGTTATTTTCTTTTTCCATTTGCGAGCAATTAGAAACCGGATAAAGAAACAAAGAACAAGAAGGACAATAGGAACTCCAGCTCGATGGGATTGATCCGAAGGTAATGACACGCTAGCTGTTGATGAACAAGTGCGGCCAGTTCAACATAGGAGAAAGAAGGCGATATGCTCCAGATCGCTTTATGCAATCAAAGACGAGGAACGTCAACTTTGAAATGTTGGTTTTATTTGAGAAGTCGATTTTCCTGGGTTGAACGCGTTCAACTACTTTCATGGTGAAAAAAGCTAATGGAAAATGGAGAATATTTATATATTTTTTTTATTTATCCCCTTGGACAACTAGTGTCTAAGAGATATGACAACTAACAGGACTCCTCCTTTGCCAACGCTATTCTTCGTCAACGCTTTCATAATATCATCAATGACGATGTTCCTCACTTCTCTATGCATGGTAAAGTCCATCGAAGAGTCAACCAATGCATTCTGAACGCAAAGAGTGGATGCATTGAGCTTAAGTATTTAAGCCAAGGTGTCGGTTGCCGATCTTCCTGTCCCAAGGACCTCGGTCCGATCCAATATTAAACTTCAAGTGGCTGGCTGGTGGATCGCACAAATGCTTAACACATAGCAGTTGTCTCTCAAATACAATGCTTAACACAGAGCAGGGGATTCCATTCCACCAATTTCATGTAAACGAGTTCACCCCGACTCCAGAAAGATAGGTCTTACAGTGGACAGTGATGACAAAACAAGCAAGGATGTGGGGTTGTTGGAATCAAATACATTAGTAGGTAGGAAGCTCGGGCGGGTTGATCCAAGGAAATTCGTAGGCGAAACGAATATGAGCGCTGCTACGGCCAATGAACGATTCTCGAGTGAAAGGAAACAGGAAGGTTTCGTCAGCTGTCCCTTATTCTTTTTCAAGAGGAATGAAATAGTCGACCATACGGGGAAGGGAAGTTGCCCAGAAGTAATAACAACCTTCAAGTAAGAAGGAAGGAAATCCACTAATAGATAGTAGGGCGGCTCATTTACCTTTGAAAGATGAGGGTCTACTCTCGGAAGATAGGGTTAGCCGAGTTCGACATGGTTCTTCAACCGTTCCGCCCTCAAGAACAAAGATAGACATCCTTTGCTTGCTTCTTCTTGAGCTTGGTCGCCAAGTGTCAATAGAAATAGGAAAACCGTCAAGGATTGCAGTTGGAAATATAGTTATTTTTCCTTGCCAATAAAATCAACAAATTGTGAGTTGCCTTTGCCAAGGAGATGATCAAAGAAAAGAAGAAAACACCAGCCGGAGCGGATATGCGAACAGAGAAGGTCGCATGCAGACGAGTGAGAAGTAGGGCCTCCAGTTTAAGTAGCAGATATGGGTTTCTAATGCAACATGATGGGAAGCTGCTCGGAGAAGTCCTGAATTGGTGACAATTCTCGGAGCTCGTATGCTGCCTGGAAGCAGTCCGCAGCCTCGAGCAGTGAGTGATCCTTTAGATTTCAGGACAAGTCCAAGATCCAGCCAGGCTCGATGGCTTGTGGGCTCTAAACGGAGGGCGTTGCGCAAGAAAGTTCTTGCGATTGATAACGAGTTCCGTTCCCTCCTAGATTTCGTAGAATTCCTGCCATAGAAACCATGCTTGGATGTAATTTGGATTGATCGAAAGGGCTAATGGAAATGCCATCAGGGCTTCTTGGTGCAAGGATTGACCCTCCAACTAAAGACCTGCAAAGGTGCTGAATGCATTAGTAGTTTTAAACATCGAACCATCGAACGAACTTTAATAGTCAAAAACTAACAGAAGCAACCTCTTGGATATTCATTTAGATATCAATCCAGAAGCACCAGTTTAGAATAGAAAGCTAAGTAAAGTATTTCAAGTATGCATGTGTGATAAGTCAAGCAAAACCCGGACGGAGTGGGAGAAGAGATGGATTTTTTTTATGTGTTAGAGGAAGGAGATGCGGTGTAATATATGTATGTAATAAGACTAGAAAGAGGCATGTGTGGTATAAGTAAGGAATATGCTTTCACAGAAAGGCATGGAATAGCTTAGAGGGATAGTATTTAACAAAGAAGCACGTACCGGTATACGGATCTGGTTAGGTCAACAAGCTGTTGGTTGGCATTCAAGGTATGTGTAACGTTGAGAAACAGGTGCTAGGTATGAACGAGTAAGCTACTAAAAATAGGCGAGATATGGTTTCAATTGCCTAAGAGTGGCATTCATGGAAAGGGAATCACAGATAGGGATTCAGTGGGCACCTAAACGAATGAAATGGATGCTCTGACTCCCGCACTCGGGAAAATGGGAACTACTTAAACTGACAATAATAGAGCTGACTTTAGAACTCTTCTCCTCTTAAGTACTGAATTGAGAATTTTCTTCAAAGGCACATGCACTCAGTTACTTACGGAATCTCAAAGAAAGAGTCGTCTAGGAGCACTTCATTAGATTTGCATGTGTTAAGCATATAGCTGAAGTAGCCTAAGCGCTTCAACCTGCTCTTACAAGACGAATCTCTTTCTATACGCAATTGAAACTAGAGTATACTCCTTTCATGTCTTCCACGTCACCCAGCTACTAGTTCCCTCTTTCCGCTATTATGAGCGAGTTTTGGGTTAGCCAGAGCGGGCCAATAGGGATAAACAAAGTATGGAAGTAGTTGTGAGGTAATCAGATTGAACAAAGCGTGCTCTTGATGCTCCCGCAGCTGACTCATTTCCCGACGTTCTTCTTGCTCGAAGCAAGCTCCAAAAGCAGTGCTTAAGGCTGTTGTTGTTCCTGGGCTGGATTGACTGGCGAGATAGACTACTTTGTTTGCGACTTTCCGTGCTTTACTTTCAACCGCGATGAGGTCAGCCTTTCTTAGCGGATAATGTGTTGAGCTATGCCCAATAATAGTCGTAAGATGAAGTAGCAGATCCTGAACCAGCTTTGGACATAGTTCTTTCTTTTTTTTATTAGAGAAAAGACGGAGGATGTTGGCCTTGCGAACTTGCAAAGGACTAACGAGATTGTTTCTATTGCCAAGATGAGCCGCTTCGGGCTCAGGAGACTATGGTGGTCTATGATCTAATAACTGGTGGGGAGACTGTGGCTCAAGTCCACGTCGTGAGAAAGACTGAGCTATTCTGTACTTTTCTGACCCTTTGAAGGATGAAGATGGTGAAGGCGCGGGCCCATGATAAGGATTCCCAAGCCTACTTGGTCGATTTGGTTGATAACTTTTAGTATGCCTAGGGCAGAGACTTTGCATTTCCATGGGTAGAGCACTACTAGAAGGTTCTGGTCATACTTGCTCGCGGACTTCTCCTTGCCTTGTTAGGTCAATTACATTGAGCCTGCTAAAGAGCCGATAAAGCATTTGGTACTCAGAAGATAGTAAAGCTAAGGGAAAGTAATGCTTCGTCTATCTGCTCCTAACCGTCGACTTCACTTCTAGAGATTACATTGACCTATGGTCGAGTCAATTGAGAAGAATTAAGACATTCATGGCAACAACATCTGCCAGGACCTGAAATGGTTAAATAAGGAGGCAAAAGGGGCGGGCTGACAAACCAAAACGAAGAAGGCCATGAACCAAAGTCATATAAACGGTCGAACACAACGAGAACAATTTTCTTTAGTAAATCTGGGGGAACATCTTTTCATAAGTTGCCTAGAAAGATCTCCTTATTACTTCATATTTACAAGGGAGGCGACAGTGAGGTTCAATGTAATTGTCTCGACCATACTTTAGATAGTTCGGTAGCTGTTGTACCTTTGACCTATGTGAGTCTGTGGCTTTCTAGACAGAACAGACGCGTTAGAGGTCGTTTCGGGGACTAATCTGCCATACCCTCTTTCAGCTAGACGCCCCATCAAGAAGCACCTCACTCATAAACAGAGAGTCTTTGATTGCTCAACTTAATTCAGTAAGCGAAGAAAGCTCATCTTTTAGCTAGAGCAAGTTGGTCTAAAGATTACATTGACCTTTGGTCGACTCAAGTCGACCCTCAACTGGCGCCTTAGCGGGGGGAATTCATACTATGTACTTTTCCTTGACTTAATTACATCGACCCTTCCATCGATCCGAATTTTTATGACTGAACTTCGCTTCGAAAAGTTTGTAGGGTCCATCACTCTGCTTTCTAAATGTCTGTTTCCACAAACTGCTTCTTTAGTGGTGCCATTTGCAAATAAAATAACAGAGGATAGGATCCTTTCCCTACTTTAGGGTCTGCACATACTCCCCCTCGAGTTATCATCTATGCAAATTCCGAAGATGTCTCATTCCAATATTGTTCACGTGCTTTCGAAATATTGTAGTCGAAAGCGCCTTCGAAAATAAATCTGCTGCATTATCGCTTGATCGAATGTATTGAACTTTGATTTGTTTGTTTCTTTCAAGCTCTTGAGCATATGAGAAGAACTTTGGCGGGATATGTTTAGTTCTGTCACTTTTAATGTATCCCTCTTTGGTTTGAGCGACATATGCTGCATTGTCTTCGAGTATTACCGTCGGGTCATTATTATTTGATAGTCCACTGGCTTGTTGAATATGTTGAGTCATGTTTATGAGCCAGATGCTTTCCCTAGTTGCTTCATGAAGTGCAATGATCTCAGCATGGTTTGAAGATGTCGCGACTAATGTTTGTTTCTGGGAACGCCAAAAAAAATACAGTTCCACCAATCGTGAAAACGTAGCCAGTTTGAGATCTTGCTTTATGGGGGTCTGATAGATATCTTGCATCTGCAAAACCGATCATTTCATGTTTTTTATCATTTGAGTAAAACAATCCCAAATCGATTGACCCTTGGAGATAACGGAATATATGCTTGATTCCATTCCAGTGTCTCCTCGTAGGTGACGAGTTATATCTTGCTAACAAGTTGGTAGCAAAAGATATATCTGGTCTGGTGCAATTTGCAAGATACATAAGAGCTCCTATTGCACTCATATATGGTATTTCAGGACTAAGTATTTCTTCATCTTTTTCACAAGGTCGAAATGGATCCTTTTCAACATCTAATGTTCAATTGACCATTGGGGTACAAAGGGGATTAGCCTTGTCCATATTCGATCGTTTTAATATTCTTTTAGTGTAATTAGATTGATGGACAAATATCCCATTTTGGACTCGTTCTATTTGCAAGCCGAGACAATATTTGGTTTGTCCAAGATCTTTCATTTCAAATTCGCCTTTCAGTAAAGTGACTGCTTCTTGGATTTCATTTATAGTCCCAATAATATTAAGATCATCGACATAGACAACAATTATCACAACTCCATCTTGTGATCTTTTTATAAAGACACAGGGGCATATTTGATTATTTATGTATCCCCGTTTTAGTAATTGTTCACTCAAACAATTATACCACATACGCCCGGATTGTTTCAAGCCATACAATGATCTTTGAAGTTTTATCGCACATAACTCTTTAGGTTTGGACTTTAGTGCTTCGGGTATTCTAATCCCTTCTGGAATTTTCATATAAATATCAACGTCTAGCGATCCATATAAGTAAGCAGTCACAACATCCATGAGACGCATCTCAAGATTTTCATGGATGGCTAAACTAATCAAGTATCTGAAGGTAATTGCATCCATAACAGGGAAATATGTTTCATCATAATCGATCCCAGGCCTCTGGGAGAATCCCTGTACTACAAGGCGAGCTTTATATCTTGTGATCTCATTTTTCTCATTTCTTTTTCTGACAAAAACCCATCTGTATCCAATAGGTTTTATGTCTTTTGGTATAATGGTAATAGGTCCAAAAACCTTTCGTTTATTAAGTGAATCTAACTCGGCTTGAATATCACCTTTCCACTTGTCCCAATCATGTATTTTCTGACATTCAATCATAGATTTTGGTTCAGGATCCTCAACCTCTTTGTCAATTTCTTGTGATACCATATATGCGAATGCATCATCAATATTTATGACCTCATCACGCTTCCAAAGATTCTCATTGTTTACGTAATTGATGGAGATTTCAATATTTTCATTTCGTCCCGAAATTTTTCCATCATCTTGATTCTTTTTCAAATTCGAGTCATGAATTTCTCTTTTCTTTCGAGGATTCTTATCTTTAGACCCAACTGGTCTTCCTCGTTTTAAGCGTGTCTTTAACTCATTTGGCATATCGTCATTTGCCATTTCTTTTGGAATCTCAATTCGAGCAGGGGCATTTACGGCTGCCACATGTGATTTGGTCACCCTTTTTAAATCAGTAAATGCATCTGGCAATTGATTTGCAATATTCTGTAGATGTATGATATTTTGAACTTCATGCTCTCTTTGTTTGGTGGGAGGATCAAGATATGATAGTGATGATGTTTGCCATTCAACATTTCTCTTAATTGACTTTTCATTCCCACCTAAGGGGGGGAACAATTCTTCATTAAAATGACAATCATCAAACCGAGCTATAAAAACATCACCTGTTTTTGGCTCAAGGTATTTGGTTATTGATGGAGAATCATATCCAACATATATTCCCAACCTTCTTTGAAGCCCCATTTTTGTACGTTGGGCGGAGCAATTGGTACATACACTGCACAACCAAAAACTCTTATATGTGTAATATTTGGTTCTCGACCATATGCCAACTGTAATGGCGAGTATGTATGGTGTGCACTTGGTCTTATTCGAATTAGATCATCTGCATGCAGAATAACATGTCCCTATACTGAAGTGGAGAGTTTTGTCCTCGTTATCAATGGTCTAGCTATAAGCTGCAGTCGTTTAATCAATGATTCTGCTAGACCATTTTGAGTGTGAACATGTGCCACAGGATGTTCAACATCAATTCCCACTGCCATACAATAATCATTAAAGGCTTGAGATGTAAACTCTCCAACATTGTCAAGTCTGACTCTTTTGATAATATAATCTGGGAATTGAGCCCTTAATTTAATAAGTTGGGCAAGTAATTTAGCAAATGCCACATTTCTAGTGGATAACAAACTCACGTGAGACCATCTACTAGAGGCATCAATTAACACCATAAAATATCTGAATAGACCACAAGGTGGATGAATAGGTCCACATATATCACCATGAATCCTTTCCAAAAATAATGGTGATTCACGTCCGACTTTAGTATGTGATGGTCTCATTATCAATTTCCCTTGAGAACATGAGGCACATGTCAATTCATGTGTTTGCAATATCCTCTGATTTTTTAATGGATGCCCACTAGAATTTTCAATAATTCTTCGCATCATTATCGAGCCAGGATGACCAAGTCGATCATGCCAAAGTTTAAACATTTTATTCGTCTTTGAATTTGTTGTAGCATAAGCCTCGATCATATTAATCTCGGTGTAATATAAACCCGAGGAAGAGCGGGTAACCTCTCCAAAACACATCTATTTCCCGCATTGTTTGAGGTAATGCAAAGGTATTCAACTCCCCCTTTATTCATTGTTTCAACGTGGTATCCGTTCATTCGGATACCTTTAAAACTCAACAAGTTTCTTGTTGATTTTGGGGAGAATAATGCATCATTCACTGTAAATTTTGTACCTCCCATCATAAAAAATATGGCCTTGCCAGAACCCTCAATTATCTTTGCACTTCCGGATATGGTGTTTACTTTGGCTTTATTTAATATCAAGTTGATGAAATATTTTTTGTCCTTGAGTATAGTATGAGTAGTGGCACAATCTGCAATATATATATATCTCCATTTTGGATTCGAGACCGATCCATGATCTAAAAGAAAAACAACATTTATTATTGATTAAATTCAAAATACAGATAAAAGTAGTCCACACAAATACAACAAAACTTAGAAAGCAATAAAAAAAACATGATCATCAGTTATTCTCTTGGTCATTTCCATCTCTTTCTTCAAATACTGCATCGGCAAAATCCAGTTTCAATATGTCATCGATGCCATAGTCATCATCCACATGTGTTGCATCATATTCAGAGGATTCCCCAACCATAAAATTGGTTTCTATATTCTTATCTTTTGATTTCCGGGAATCGTTATAATTATCAACAACGTGTCTCGGAGCACGACAATTTCGTGCCCAATGTCCCTTCCTTCCACATTGATAACATGCCTTTTCATCATTATTCTCCGTCACATTGTTCTGTTCAAATTTTGGCTGGAAATTTCTCCCCCTTTCATAATTTTGGACTTAGTTACGGCCTCGTCCACGATTGTATTCTCAGCCCGAGTTATACCCTCGGTGAAATCTGTAGCCTCGGCCGGATTGGCGATCCGGACCATATCCACGGCCACGTCCACGACCACGACCACATCCTGAGGTATATCCACGCACATGTGTTTGACTGTTTTTATTTTCAGTTCCCTGTCTAGATATTACAGTATTTATTTCAGGGACCGCAGTAGACCCCGTAGGTCTAGGTTCATGGTTTTTCATCAACAGTTCATTATTTAGTTCAGCTAAGCAACAAGCAAGAAATCAACTCAGAATATTTCACAAAGCTTTTTGCTCTGTATTGTTGCTGCAAAAGTACATTTGAAGCGTGGAATGTGGACAACGTTTTTTCCAGCATATCGTAATCAGTTATGTTTTTCCCGCATAATTTCAATACCGAGCAAATGCGGAACATTGCTGAATTGTACTCGTTTACAGTTTTGAAATCTTGAAAGCGTAAGTGCATCCATTCATAACGATCCCGGGGGAGAATCACCGTTTTCTGGTGATCATACCTTTCTTTCAAGGCTTTCCAGAGATCTGCAGGATCTTTTACAGTTAAATATTCATTTTTCAATGCCTCATTCAAATGATGTCTCAGAAATATCATTGCTTTAGCTTTATCTTGTATTGATGAATTATTTGGAGATATTATTGTTTCTCCCAACCCCCTTGCAGCCAAATGAATTTCGGCATCCAA